TCTCTCTCTCTCTCTCTCTCTCTCTCTCTTTCATTGAGACTTAACTGTAAACTGTATAACTCATGTCATATTTGTAGTGGAAGTTTCGTTTATAGTTTAATAAAATTTCGTGTTATCATACCTTTTAAATTATACCATTTTATTAATTGGAAAATATTTGTAATATTATTAATATGATAAAATTTAATCCTATGATAATAAATTAAAATTTCCAAATTACTTATTTTTTGAAATACAGTATTTGCGTTAAAAATATAATTGAAAATGAGTGGAAGGACAGGGAGGATGAAATGGCTTAGAAAGTTGCCTCAAATGATCAGCTAATTTACATACACTATATTATAGTGACTATAAGCTATTTTCATTTACAAGTGTATTAAAATTTCAAATTGAAATTATTTATTTTTCAAAAATCAATTCATAGTTTCAATGAACTGAATTTTAAGAGCAGTCATTAAAGTGTTGGGTATTTTTTGTTAAGAAATCAATTAAATTGAAATAAAATTATTATTTTAATTAACGGTTATAATTATTGTAAATATGTTTCTATTACTGGTCATCTCAATACTGTCTTCAGCGGCGGCTCAAAGATATCCAACACAAGAGCTAAGTTTAAACAGTTTAATGCCTTTATTAGTGGGCAATACGACAGACAACGCAACCTTTTTTCACGCAATTCCCGATCAGTTGTATTACAACTTCACTACTGAACTAAAGCCCATCGAAGAGATTACCAGTCACTTCAACCTAACAGGTCTCACACCTGAAGAGATCTCTATAGTTTTGGCATTTCCTTCATTTCCAAACACGACAACTCTTCCTCCGACGGCTACAACGGTTCAATCGGTCGACAATTATGTCAATACAACTTTGAACACCAATGAAACCTCTATTGATGGCCAAAATCATACGATTCGGTTCCGGAGACTCGTTCTTCCGATGTTGTCATCGCATCCAAATGATCGTCCATCCAATCGGTTACAGCGCATGAGACCAGTCAATAGACCACAAGTTATTAACAATTATTTTATTCAAAGACAAGGATCGCGTACTGAATACATAAAAGTTGGCGCCGAGAAGACCAATGACACTGTGGACAAAGTGAGGACCGCTTTTTTCGTCGATTCCAATCCAGACTTGAAAAATGTGGACTTCAATGGCATTCATCCGGTCTATCCGTCGTATCCAATGGTTCCCATTAAGGTATTGCAAACCAAACCCACTTCAAAGCCAGACTATCCGTCCTCTGACATCGAGCCACCCGTTCTCGATGTCGTCTTCAGTTAGAAGACTGATCAGCACTTTATTTGCTTTTATTTCTTGTATTATATTTTTTTTTATTCTGTTTTATGTCTTAAATATTGTATTATTCATCGATTTTATTGAAATACAATTAGTTTAGCCAAACATTAAACGTATGTAAATATCATACTATTATGAAGTCGTAAACTTCTAACTTTTTTTTATTCATCGATTGTTTGTTTCGCAAACGATTAAACATTTGTATTTGATTTACGATTTAATCCTATCATTAATTTGCAAACTAAATAAATAAATGCATTGATTTTTAAGATTCAGTCCAAGACTATTATTGTTTTGCATTAAACTGTAAGCAACAATGTTTTTGATGGCATTTGCAAATTATGCGGAATATTCTGTTTCTGAGCTTATGGTTGGAAAAGTATGGAAATTAATAACACATAAGTACTACTTATTGAGTATTAATATTTTGGTTTTAATTGTTTAAATACAATGGAAAGACGTGGTAATTATGATAACAATTTGAGGTATGTATAAAAATTAATTTCTGTCTATAACTTATTACACAATACATTTATTTGATATTTTCTAAACATGCAATATTTACTATGCAATATAATTAAGTTGTAACATTACTTAATCAAACAGTCCGTTCACTCCTCGTCCGCCATCAGAAACGGTGACAATTAATTCAGTGAGCGATGAATTGTCACCTCCGGCGCCGTTTCCACCGGCCAGTGGTCGGCGCTCGAGTCGTGCCCGACGCCGATGGGCGGCATCGATGCACGCCATGTATTTGATTCGCATATTCGAGTCCTTCCTTCACAACCCCTTCTATTCGTTGGTCTTATCGTTGAGAATGTTTGGTCTCATCATTAATATCGAGTCCCAAAGTCATCGCATGTATTCCTCGCGAGAGAATCCGTGCAAAGTTTGGACGCTAAGAGTGTTGAGATATATGTTGACCACTTTTATGGTGCTTTACATTCTCTACTATTCCATAAGGATTACTGTAACGGTGTCTTCGGGCGGCTTCTGGACTAATCTGAAAGTGTTGACCACTTCTTGGATCACATTCTGCACCGTAATTGTGTTTCTGCTCCGACACAACCACATCGGATCACTTATGGTTCAAATACAATCGCTTAATGCTTTCGGCGCTGATTACATACCGGCCCTTAAGAGACGAGTGATGATAGCGGTTGCGGGCGTTTGGATTTATTTAGCCATTTCTGTCATCACATATTTCCTCGACTTCTCGTACGTGAAGGTAGTAATTATTTATTTTTAAAAACTGATTAAATGCTTGAAGTATTAAAGTAATGAATATTTTGTAAATAGTCTGAAGATTTGTTTGTCATAAACTTTGGCAATTGGTATGTGTCAAAGACAATGGCCTCGTTTGTGGTATATGTGGACACCATTTTCAACGTATACTTCGTGAGGGGAACTCTAATAATGATTATCACATGTTATATACTTCTCTGTCATTCAATTGAGTGTTTGTTCGTTGATTTAAAGCACTTTTCAATCACTCAGTTTCAATTAAAACGCGATTTAACGATCAAAGGTCTGCGAGAACTCAAGAATAGACACCAATTGTTGGTTGTATTTACCGAAGAGTTGGACACAATTTTCTCATTTATGACATTTTTATGGTTTATTCTGGCATTGATTTCGGTGTGCATTCGAGTCAACACTATTATCGCCGGCGAATATTCCTCGGCAAACATTGAGGGTTGGATCAGCTCTATCTGGGCTATCGGTGTGATTGTACTCATATTCATTGGTATCCCTCTATACGCTTCCAACGTCAGCGAAGAGGCCATTCAATCGGCTTTACATATCGAGAGATTAGCGAACTCTCATTCAATCAAATCGGAGATTAATTTTTATTATGAATTGATATTATTTATGTCCAGATTATCTTTGGATCCGACTTCCATGACATGTTATAAATTTTTTCGGATCAATAGATTCATGATTTTAATGGTAGCCCTAATAATACTCACGTATTGCTTTCTTATGGTTCATTACGAACTAATTCTCACTAATATTAAACAATAATTAGTTTTTAAAAAAATTTAAATACCGGTATAACTTATTTTTAAACAATACTTTTTTAATACCATTTCCATCGTTACAAACTTATTTTGAAACATTACGTTAATACTTATTATAATAAATAGTGAAAATTATGCAATTCTGTAAAATATACTGTACTGTAGATGTATTAGAAGTAATTGAAAACTTAATCGAAAATTTCAATTATAAAATATACGAACAAAAACAAAACCAATAAAAACACACATTTATAAAAGTTAGCGCTTAAATAAAAGTTGGACACATTTTTAGCTTCATTTGGATTGAGTGCATATTTAACTCTATAGTCAGACTGCATGAGCGCATCCCTCGCACCACACCATGAATGCGGACCACGAAGTCTGTACTGATAGGGAAGAGTGGGTCCAAAGACCAATTTTATGAATAGCTGTGTATCACTCAATAAATATTGTTTAATATCGGGTTTAACGCCAATCATGTCTGCGATATCGTCCATATATGACAACCAATCGACTGCTAATGAATTTCTGGCCGATTTGTAAAATANCAATTTTATGAATAGCTGTGTATCACTCAATAAATATTGTTTAATATCGGGTTTAACGCCAATCATGTCTGCGATATCGTCCATATATGACAACCAATCGACTGCTAATGAATTTCTGGCCGATTTGTAAAATACTTGGTCTCGTCGTTGTTTTGTGAGCGCAATATCGGCCACAATGTGGTCGTGCGATGGGAGCCGGCATTTGCCGGTCATAAGGAGAGCGTAGAGCCGGGACTGCATCTCAAACAATGCAAATATACCACCATTTGGTTGAAGAGCGCCAATGAATCCCAGACTCGAGTGCGACAATTGTTCGGGAAATATCTGTTTATACAAATTCAACGCCTCATTACTCGAGTGATCGAAAAGACTTTTGTCGACAAACGGAAACGAGTGGTCATAACCCGTAGCCATCACTACTAAATCACATTCGGTTACATCTGTATCACCTGTTTATTGACTCAATTATTTATATAATTATTTCACATTAATATAAATTAATTAAATTACCGACAAATATAACCCCATTCTCGACAAATCTTTGGATGTCTTTCTTAGCGACAATTTTGCCGCAAATCATTCTAACGGGTAATAAATCGCTAACAATTGGTATTTCAGAAAAACAGCCAAAATTTGGTTCAATTCCGTAAAGCCTGTGATCGAAGCGATTGTTATAAACGAAAGTCTCGTAAAACCAACAAATGAGTCGAAACGGGAAAAGACTCCGCAATTTGTGCAAAAATCTGGTGTGAAATTGATAATCAATTGGCCATCCGTTTTGGCCAACTCTGTGCAAAACCCAACCACCGCTTCGTAACGATATGTATGTCTTATCGCAGACATAACTATAAAGATGTGGTCATATTATCTGATTATCATTTAGATAATCATAATAAACAAATCAAACCTCAATTCAACGGCCGAATCACATCCAGAATTGCCAATTCCGACCACTACTGCAGTCTTGTCTTCGTATTCTTTTAGATCCCAATGAGAGACAATATCTCGCGAATGAATTATTTTACCTTAAAGTTTGTATTATATTGTTTAATGCAATAAAATCACAATTTAAATGCAATAATATTACCTTTAAAAAGATGTTGTCCGTCAAAGTGAGGCCAACGAGGGGTCGTGTGATGACCAGAGCATACCATTACGCCATCAAATACTTCAGTTATAACAGAATCGTTATCTTTATGGCTCTGAACCGAAACTTTGAATCTATGAGTGCTGTCGTAGTCTTCGGTTTTGTCTATTTTGATGATTGAATGCTCGAACCGAATGTGTGGCAGAAGTCGGAAGTGTTTGGCGTATAACGAAAAGTATTCAAACATCTTCTTGTGGTCCATATAATTGGCGAACTCTTTAGGCGCCGGAAAATCGGAGAATGAATTGATCTCTTTGGAGGAGTTGGCGATCGTTGTCTTCTGCACTCTTCCCACACCAGCGATGTCTTCCGAAGCCATTGTGGTTTCTGGCGGCTGTAATGCACAGAAGAGTATCGTCTGGTGAAGGTCAGGGAGAAGTTCCGTACGGAATTAACGACAGTTTGGCCGGCGTGGGCGCGGGTGTTGTGTCTAAGCATGACTCATTTACTTTAATTCAAATATAACTTTATTATAAAATTTATTCAAGTTTTATATTAAAAACTTGCAAATATTATTGTGTTTTGTGATAAAACTTTTATCTCTCGAAACAATTTGATAAGAGTTTGGATTATGTTTATTAATATTTAATAGTTTTCTATGTAGTATTGAAGTATTAATACTCGTATAAGAAAATACAAATAAATTACTACAATTAATACACATGTTATAATTTTGTTTTTATATTTAATAACTATAAGGGTTATAATGAAATACCATTATTAATGATACATTAATGTTATATCAAACATAAAGTCAAAGACCCTTAAACAGTAGTAAATGGAGAAAAATATTTGTTATATTCACGTAGCAGTAATTAAATTATTTTTAACTTAAATATTTTGCTATTTCTGTGAATTCAATGCTGAATATAAATCATTTACAAATATAGGAATTCACTAAAATTAAGTGACTGTGAGATAACTTATGTCAATAAATTTGTTATTCTACTATTTATACATATGTATAACATCACATGTATAATTATGTGATTAATTTTCTATAAATTGTTAATAACAAGGTATTATCTTATAATCAAACCAATTACCCTTTATATACATTTAATTGAAATTAAATCTTCAATCGCTTTAAATTTACAGATAAGTCTACAGATTATGTACCAAATTAATAATGCAATTTCAATACAGTTGCTAATTAGTAATTATAAATGAGCATGATTATTGACATTTATTTCTATGTATTCAATATTAATAAAGCTATAAATAAAATATTATAAAAATATGTTTGAATACAAGATTATAAGTGAATAGTGAATGAAATGATTATACAGAATATAATACAGAATATCGTATAAAAAGGGCAATGAATTTGGATTCTCGACCCAAGAGTTTCGTACACTTCATAACTCATTATCTATTGTTTTAAGCATTATAAGTACATAACTAAATTAATTGTTACGTAATATATAATTCAACCTAAGTATATAATTTTTATACATTTTAGGTTTAAAAATTTATTAATTACAAATTATTTTAATTTTAAATTCAGTTTTAAGTAATCACATCCAATACTGGCATACATTTGAACATTGGATCGAAAAATGCATGTAAAACAGCATTGCATGCAATAGAGTCCACTTCTATGTTGACATTTGTAGACATTTAGCATTACATTCACAGCGTATTAGTGAACGCAATATAAACGACATTACAGTAAACGCTATCACAAATCCAATTGAAGCATAAAATTCATTAATTGTTTGCGAAATAAGTATTGATAACAAAGCTGTGGATCAGTTGTGGTGACAATGGAGATGACCACTAAGATAGACAATTGGGACGAGAGTCTGGGCATCACTCCGACCGCCGATGACAACAACAAAGAGGAGAAACACTTGACCGCAAAGGTTTGTCACTTGACTACTGGCCGGTCGTCCATCTGATCCGATGCCCAAATTGCCATTAAATGAATTGATTGTCCATTAGATTGAAAACATTACACTCGCGGCCGAGCCGTCGGCCCCACCGACAGAAACCAATGGCGCCTCGAGTCAGCCCACGGATGAAAATGGTATCAATTTTTAAGATAATCACTTGTTTTGTTTGTTTCGCTAAACCATTGTTATTGTCTCACGTAATGTACGGACAGTGTCTTCGGCCGACTTGTCTTATATGCGGAAAGTGTTGCGAAACAAATTACTCCACACGAAGAACAACGTGGAAGTGACCAGAAGTCTGCCAAACAATCCCTTATATTCGGTCAAAACCTTTGAAGAGCTGAGACTGTAATCAAGCCTTTTTTGTGACAATTAATTTGGTTTTAAAACAAAACTAATTCCTCTTTCTCTTTGTGTTTTGTCTTTAGACCCGAAGAGCTATTGAAAGGTCTCTACGAAATGGGTTTCTCCGCGCCGTCCAAAATCCAAGAGACGGCTCTTCCACTACTATTAGCCACACCGTTAGTGTCCATTAGTTTCGCTTTATATTTGTTTATTTATTGATTAATTGTATTTTTTGTGTTGAATGTGTGGTCACAACAGACCAATCAATCTGATAGCACAGTCCCAGTCGGGCACCGGTAAGACTGCGGCCTTCGTATTGGCCAGTCTTTGTAGGGTTGAGATCAACGATTTCACGCCTCAAGTGATCATTTTGTCGCCAACTTATGAACTGGCGATTCAAACGGGAGAAGTGGCCAAACAGATGGCGAAACACATCCCACGGATTAGCTTTAGATTTGCCGTCAGAGGAGAGAACATACAGAGAGGTAACCGTTTGTCTCCTTTTGGTTTCAATTGATTGTATTGACAGAAATTGATTGCTTTAAACAATAGGCGAACAAATAGCAGAACACGTTATAATCGGAACGCCGGGAAAACTGATGGATTGGATCCACAAATTTCGCGCGTTTGACGTGAAGAAGATCAAAGTGTTTGTCTTGGATGAGGCGGATGTGATGATCGACACACAGGGACACAGACAACAGTCGATTCGCATCCAAAAGGCTTTGCCCACTGATTGCCAAATGATGTTATTTTCGGCCACTTATGACAGAAGTGTTATGGAATTCGCGGAAATGATTATAAGAGATCCGGTCATCATTCGGCTCAAGCGGGAAGAGGAGAGCTTAGAGAACATCAACCAATTCTACGTCTACTGTCACGATGAGGGCGAAAAGTATAACGCGTTGGCAAATATTTTTGGCACCATTTCTATGGGTCAGGCGTTTATATTTTGTCGAACGAAGAAATCGGCCGCCGATTTGGCCCAAAAGCTCAGAAAAGTATGTGTTTTATGTTTTTGATAATGAAATGAAATTAATTGGTTTGGGTTGAAAGGACGGCCATTCCGTGGGTTTAATATCCGGTGATTTGTCAGTAGAAGAGCGGACAATGGCTCTGCAGCGGTTCCGTGAGGGACAAGAAAGAGTGTTAATCGCCACTAACGTAATGGCCAGAGGTATAGACGTGGAACAGGTGACAGTTGTGGTCAACTATGATCTGCCAATGAGTGTGGAGACCAATGAAGTGGACAAAGAGACGTATTTGCATCGAATCGGTCGCACCGGGCGTTTCGGCAAAGAGGGTCTGGCCATCAATTTTGTCGATTCGGCCAAAACTTTTGGATTCATTAAAGACCTGGAAATACATTTCGGGCGAAAGATATCGAAATTGGATGCGACGGACATCGAAGAGATCGAGAAAATAAACCAGGAATGAGATGGACGTTGAGGAATGAGCGATCGACGCGTTGCTCCCCAAATACAAGGCCACAGATGTGCCCCAAAAGGACTCACTCGACGTCTTCATTGAGCACCGATTGCTGGCCGAACAGCGCAGCCGATCCGCCACTGCCGGCACCGCCGATGAGTTGTCCGCCGAACAGATTGTGTCCAAATATCCGGCGGATCTGATGCGAAGATTTGAGGTTTGCGTTCAATGTCCATAAAAAGTTTGGTTTAAATGTTTCGGCCATTTATTCAATTGTTTTGTCGTTTTTTCAGCTCTATTTCAAACCCGAGTTTAACCAAAAGTCGATTCCCGTGCGGGAAGTGTTGGCCAAAGACATCGGCAAACTGGTGACCATATCAGGAGTGGTGACCCGAACCACGGAAGTGAAGCCAATGCTAGTGGTGGCCACCTATACGTGCGACACGTGCGCCGCCGAGACCTACCAACCGATCGGCAATCAGACATTCATGCCGTTAGAGCGCTGTCAGAGCGATGAGTGCACCGCCACGCGAGCCAACGGACGCCTCCATCTGCAGACCCGCGGCTCTAAGTTTATAAAGTACGAGGAGTTGCGCATTCAGGAGCACAGCCATCACGTGCCNAACCGATCGGCAATCAGACATTCATGCCGTTAGAGCGCTGTCAGAGCGATGAGTGCACCGCCACGCGAGCCAACGGACGCCTCCATCTGCAGACCCGCGGCTCTAAGTTTATAAAGTACGAGGAGTTGCGCATTCAGGAGCACAGCCATCACGTGCCCGTCGGCAATCTGCCCCGAAGTATCAACATTATTGCCAGAGGTTTGCCATTCATATAACCCATTGGTTTGCCTTTTAATGATTTTATATTTTTGATATTGATTTCCAGGCGAACAGACCCGTCAGGCTCTGCCCGGCGATCACGTGATAGTAACGGGTGTTTTCCTGCCGATCGCCAGAACGGGTTTCAAACAGATAATGGCCGGACTGTTGGCCGACACTTACATCGAAGCGCACCAAATAGTGGTGTCCAACAAATCCGAGAACGAAGAGGAGGACAATATGACTGACCAAGAGTTTATGGATTTTATTGAAAACGAGAGGATTACGATCGACCGGTTGGCCACAAGTATAGCGCCCGAGATCTACGGCCACATGGATCTGAAGAAAGCTCTGCTTCTGCTATTAGTCGGTGGCGTCGATCAGAACACATACGGAATGAAAATCCGCGGATCCATTAATATCTGTCTTATGGTTAGAGCGCTGTCAGAGCGATGAGTGCACCGCCACGCGAGCCAACGGACGCCTCCATCTGCAGACCCGCGGCTCTAAGTTTATAAAGTACGAGGAGTTGCGCATTCAGGAGCACAGCCATCACGTGCCGGTCGGGAATTTGCCCCGAAGTATCAACATTATTGCCAGAGGTTTGCCATTCATATAACCCATTGGTTTCAATGACTTTATATTCTTGATATTGATTTCCAGGCGAACAGACCCGTCAGGCTCTGCCCGGCGATCACGTGATAGTAACGGGTGTTTTCCTGCCGATCGCCAGAACGGGTTTCAAGCAGATAATGGCCGGACTGTTGGCCGACACTTACATCGAAGCGCACCAAATAGTGGTGTCCAACAAATCCGAGAACGAAGAGGAGGACAATATGACTGACCAGGAGTTTATGGATTTCATTGAAAACGAGAGGATTACGATCGACCGGTTGGCCACGAGTATAGCGCCCGAGATCTACGGCCACATGGATCTGAAGAAAGCTCTGCTTCTGCTATTAGTCGGTGGCGTCGATCAGAACACATACGGAATGAAAATCCGCGGATCCATTAATATCTGTCTTATGGGAGATCCGGGAGTCGCCAAAAGTCAGTTATTGGGTTTCATCGACCGAATCGCACCCAGAAGTCAGTACACCACTGGTCGCGGTTCGTCGGGCGTCGGACTGACGGCAGCGGTGATGAAGGACACGATCACTGGCGAAATGGTGTTAGAGGGCGGCGCTCTCGTGTTGGCCGATCGCGGCATCTGTTGTATCGATGAGTTCGACAAAATGCTTGAGGGAGACCGCACTGCCATCCATGAGGTGATGGAACAGCAGACCATTTCCATCGCGAAGGCCGGTATTATGACTACACTGAACGCCAGGGCCTCAATCCTGGCCGCCGCTAATCCCGTCTACGGGCGCTATAATCCCAAGAAGTCTATCGAACACAATATCCAACTCCCGGCCGCACTTCTGTCCCGATTCGACCTCTTATGGCTGATCACAGACAAACCCGATCGCGACAATGACATGAGACTCGCACAGCATATCGCTTACGTCCATCAGAATAGTCACGAACCGCCGCTCGATATCATTCCGCTCGACATTAAAGTGATTCGCCGTTATATAGCGCTCGCAAAGAACTGTAACCCTATTGTTCCCGAGTTCTTGACCGACGACATTGTGGCCGCTTATATCGATATGAGACACGACGCGCGCAACAACAAAGACAACACTTATACCAGCGCTCGAACACTGCTCGCGATCCTACGTCTGGCCACTGCTCTCGTATGTCGTCTTGACATTGATTACAATGTTTACCATATCTTTAATTGATTTGACTCTAAACTGTAGGCTCGTCTCCGTCTGGCGGATGTGGTCGAGAGGGCGGACATCACTGAAGCGATGCGTTTGATTGAGGCGTCGAAGTCGAGTATAGATCACGACATGGATCCGAGTCAAAGAGCTCAGACCAGAGCCGACAAAGTTTT